ATTATATGAAGGATTCCAATAAATTCTTAGAAGGGGTTGGAAGAAAATTCCTAAAAGAATTCAACGGTAATTATTACGCGGAGTGTTTTCTGGTTTATTTCAGAACAATTTCAAGATAATTCAGAGCAGAATTCCAAGTTAATTTTGGAATTCATCATGAGAATTTTGAACAACGAAAAATTAAAACCCCGGAAAAGAATAATTCAGTTTCGGTTTTTACAAATATTTGTTTCCAAACTCCAGCATCTTCAATATTTTCTTTAGAGGACCATGCACTTTACATCTGAAATTGAAACGACAAAAATCAATTTGCAATATTGCTGAGTGATTAAATTCTAAAAACAATAAGACGGTATACTTAAGAAAATTATGCAACACATAGAGCAAGACATTCATTTGCTAAAGGATCACTCTGTTTTAATGGTTTATTCTGAAATTCTGATGTAAAAATTTGTTACTAAGATATGGTTAATTTATTTTCCCGGTTCTCTTGCAGAATTCACGGGTTTTTCCCGGATTTCCCGGTTACTTTCCAAATTCCCGGATATTTCCCGGTATTCCCGGATTTCCCGGTTTGCTGGCCGCCCTGTATTAATCAAAATCACTTGCACCCCTGCTTCCAAGTTTGTGTGGTCGTTGGGGGCTTGTGGTTCTGAATATGGACAAACAAGCATAGATAAATTCTATTCCAACTCTTTACTGATGTAAGCTTGATGGCCCTGAAAAGGGCCGTTTTATTGAAGAGGACATCCATGGCCACTTACGCTTGGCGTGTTTAGTGTAGGTGACAGCATCACGGACCTCATTTTCCACGAACACCTTCAGCACACCTCGTAGATCAGACCGGCGATACGTCAGACACTGCGACGGCGAGCCAGACGATGACGGATGGTGGTTATCTCGAAGAATTTGCGATGACGATTGGCACCTCCTTTGCCACGACCTACTGCTACTTTTGCTCACCACGCCGTCCGAAGCGAAAATGAGCTGATACCAGACAGCAGAGCTGCTTTATATCTTTTTAGGTTAAAGCAGAATGATGTGCAACCAAGTGGTATAAAAGCTACAAAGACTCCTCCCATTATGAGTAGTTTGCTATCAAGTAGCGACACTGGCTATTTTCTTTTTGCGTACACGGCGAATGAGAACGACCCAAATTTGAGTTTAGTTCACTCATAATCGCCAAAAGTGTAGGAACTCAGCGATGAGTAAATTTGTCTCATGAATCCTGTGGAAAACCTAAAAAATCGGCCAGAAAATGAGGAAATTGACGAAAATTTTATTCAGTCTCGGAGTAGTACCAATAGACTGAGTGAATCCAATCTTTACTTTTCTCAAATTCGGGAATTTTTCCCTGGAAAATCCTAAAAAATCCTGGGAAAACATTAGGAATATTTACTCATCGCTGAGTTCCTGCACTTATTTCTGAGATAACTAAACTCAAATTTGGGTCGTTCTCATTCGCCGTGATAGATATCGGCGCCGGTGGTTAGCGTAATTACCTCTCACCCCAGCAGGCCTGGGTCCAATCTCAGTCGGCGCCATCGGCATGTTCTAAGGCATAACATCTCTGGGAGCTTCCTCCCTGGCGTCGGTAGCATTGGAGCTCAGTACGGAAAACAAATCTCGCGTCACTTTTCAATAGGTCCTATCTACATTGATCGATTCTCTTCATCGACACTCTCTTTCGTAAATAACTCGGCTTCACAAATCTGCATCAACAATAGAAAAGAGCCCATCAGCATTTGTAAACAAACCGTTCCAAAGCCCTTTACTCACAAAGCGAAGGCCACCCACACAAACCAACACCATCATCGGATAGGGGAAACTTCTACCTACAAGATGTTGGTGTTGGTTTGTGTGAGCGGCCTTCAATTTGTGAGGCTTTGGAACGGTTTGTTTACAAATGCTGATGGGCCCTATTCTATTGTTGATCCAGAAATGTTTCCTACCGTCTTCGTCGAATTAGATGCTAGATTGTTGCTTCTTCCATCGAAAATATCCGGCCGTGGCGATTCAAAGTTGATCAAGGTTGATCAAAACAATTTGTATCCCTGCTTCCAGTTTGATCACATGAGCATTTTGTGTGGTCGGTGGTTCTGAATATGGACAAACAGGCAGATGAATTCTATTCCTACTCTTTACTGTAATAAGCTTGGTGGCCCTGAAAAGAGCCGTTTTGTTTCCAATGTTGGTGATGATTTAACCTCTGACACCAAACAGAGTGCGTCTCTGTCACTTCAAAAACGTAGATGACATCCATGGCCGCTTACGCTTGGCGTGTTTAGTGTAGGTGACAGCATCACAGATCTCATTTTTCAGGAACACCTTCAGCACACCTCGTAAATCAAACCGGAGATACGTCAGACACCGCCACGGCGAGCCAGACGACGGATGGTGGTTATCTCGAAGAATTTGCGTTTGGTTCTGAACATGGCGATGAGTGTGTAAAATATTACGCAATTCCATCCTCCCTATTCACACGCGCCCGAGGATCGGAGGCGAATGCCACTTCGACTTGTTTCGTCTACTTACTACTCTCTGACGACTGTGCTGGGGAAGCAGCATATGCATGTAGGTAATTGGTGGATTTGTTAGTTAATTCGACGCTTTTGGACAATGCTGAACATTTACCAGTTTTTCAATAGTTTCTTGTTGAAAATCAACATTCGGAAGCATTATTATCGATGCGTTGCCATATTCCTGATCGATTGGTGATAAAATTATTGAAATTGGACCAGGTGCAGCTGAGTTATTAACGTTCAAAATCTTTCTTAATTTGTTACATGTTCCATTTTCGGTTTTCACAAAGTGTACCCCCATATAGAAATCAAAGACGTAGTCCTACGTCAAAAATATGCCGAAATCTTTTCCTAATTTTCTCTTGCAGGAAAAATCACAGCGAAGGAAATTGGCACATATGCCACGGATACACTTCTATGTCAAACTATGAACATGACCATTATTTTTATAATAAATTATGAGCATATTAATCGAGACATTGATGGTCACACTTGTATAGTTTTTGTATAGTTGATGTATAGTGCTCATAATTGTTGTACAAATAATGCTCATGCTCATAGTTTGTCATCCAAATGTATCCGCGGCATTAGCATAGAGGTAACTCTAAGACTAGAAGGTCCCGAAGAAACGAGCTCAACTTTTTGGCTCATCTCTGGTACTATCTTCGGTCCCAAGCTAATCGATTCACCCCTCGAAACATAGGAAAATCCACTAACCCCTCATTTTATCTGTCAAACTTTCATAGCGAATCAAAACAAACATAGTGTAGTACTGGAATTTATACTAGAATGGGGTACGTTAGTCGATTTGCGTCGCATCAGTTGACGAATTCAAGCATAAATAAATCATCCGAAATTTGAAAGCATATTGTTAAAGGGCTCGAGAAATACAATAATCAGTCGAATTATTGTGGAATTTTTTCGCTCAGTGAAAAGGAGACAATAGGGGGACTTTTATTAACCAATTTTCTGTCAAACGCAAACCAGCGCCTGATTGGTTGGGCGAACGTAATACGATAATTTTTACAACAGGGAATCTATTTTCTTGTATTTTGAAAATGAAATAGTTTTTGCAAGGTCGTTTCCTCGAGAAAAGAAGAACACGTCAGAGACAAAAAGAAGCCAGTTGTCTCCTCTTCCTCTTAGGTTCTCTGTGCCAATGCTGCAGCATGCTTGACAAAGTAGTGCATTGATGCGCCGAAAAAAACACTGGCTTTGAAATATTTGACAATACACCATAGATAATAGCACTTTATGCCCATCGTGGTGTTAACACCACCGACAAACCGACATGAATTATCATACAAAGTATCATTAAATTTATGATCAAAGCACAAAACTGGCATCTGCCGCCGTGTTTGCGAAAATTGTGTATCCTAGCCACAAACACGCATACAAAATGTATGAGTTGGTTCGTGTCTAATCTATTCCGTGCAAATTATTTTTATCTAGATAACAAATTTCTATGGTTTTGACAGATAGGATCGCTGCACATTTGAAACCACCGTTATGGATTCTCGATCAAGAGTTAAGTTTAAGTTTCATGTCGGTTTGTCGGTGTTAACACAACATGTACCAATTTAAGGTAAAAAAAACTCAAATTTGAAACTTTTAGCACTTTTAACACTTCAAACACGATGCCTCCAGTAAAATGTGTAACAGCAAATTGACGATGTTTAAAAAATTATTGCTCAGCCAGCGGCTATATCACAGACAGATAAATCTTTAAAGTATGTATTTTCAAATGGCGCTTATAGATTTGAAATACGTTAACAAATGGTTGAGCTATGATTTTTCAAACATTGCAAGTTTACCGTTACACATTTTACCGGAGGCTCCGGGTTCGGAGCGTTAACGATGGTCATTTTCTATCGCCGTTTACACACACCAAATTTGAGATTTAGATTTCGTAAATACACTGGTTATATCTAATAAAACATACACTGGTTATATCTAATAAAATATATATGGCAAAGAGTCTGGTCTTCTTCAGAAGCTGCATGCTCTTAGTAACAAAAATCAGCAAATTGCTGCTAAATAACAGAATTTGGGATTGCTGCAAAAATCAGTAAAAATGAAATCTGAAATCTTTACTGATTTTCAGTAAAATATTGTCATTTTGACAGAAGTTGGAATTGCTGGAAGATACAGCAGCATTATTTTGCTGGAAAGTTTGCTGATCTTTCATCAAGTCTAAAATCAGTAAACTTTCACTGATTTTCTATGACTTAAATTGGTGTGTAGTACACATTTAGCGTACATGCCTTCTGGTTCTCGCATCTTCCGCACATTGGCGCTCGCATCGCAAAAATGCTATGACATGGAATCAAAACAAACGGCCACTGACGGCACCGTTTCTGGAAGCTTGCTCGCGGAACGGGAGCCACATCGGGGAAGGGGGGAAATTCCCACTTGCTGTCACGAAGGAAAAATAGTAAACGTCATTAGATACTGTGAGTTGGAACTATGGTGAAAAATTGGTGGCTCGCTGCTGGCTGCTGGAAAGTTTGTGCTATTTAGATCCCCCGATTAATAGATAATTATTGTACTACGAGGAAATCGAACGCTTAGCCCGCAACGATGTCTCCACCGGGCAACGGAATCTTCGTCGTCCGAGGGGAAATGTCCACCCTGACGACGGCAATGCGTCGTGGCTCACGGTGGAGCTCCAATTCCTATCAGGTAGAAGTCGATAATTATTGCTAAACTCTCATCTCTGGGTGAAATCAAGGGATTGCAATAGTTAGTGGTGGAATTGATCCGTTCCCGGAGTCAATCGGAAGAATAAATTCCGCAGAAAGATCGATTCAATATGGTTTCTTTGTTTTTCTTTTAGGACGACGAGAAAGATGGTCTACTGAAGAATTTTCACGAACTGAAGGAGAAACTTCTGCAGGTGGAAGATTTACGGTTGGTTGAACCGGGAGTGTTCCTTGGTCCCTTCCTGGAGGTGATCCGATCGGAAGAAACGACCGGTCCCGTTACGAGCCTAGCCCTTTCGGCAGTCAATAAATTCCTATCGTACGGATTGATTGACCCAACCCATTCGACGTTGGCTTCCACGGTGGAAAGCATTGCCGATGCAGTGACCCATGCACGATTCGTGGGCACAGACCAAACTTCGGATGGCGTCGTTCTGATGAAGATTGTACAAGTGCTGCGGACGCTGGTTCTGAGTCCGGAAGGGAGCGCTTTGTCGAACGAAAGCGTCTGCGACATCATTTTAAGTTGCTTCCGGCTATGTTTCGAACCTCGGTTGAACGAACTGGTCCGGAAGACAGCGGAAAATGCACTGAAGGACATTGTACTGTTGCTGTTCATGAGGCTGCCACAGTTTGTCGAGGGAGGAAATTTTCATCTCAAATCACTGAAGATGCGGTCCAGCTCAATGGATCAGTCCAGTAAAAAGCGGAAGAGTAGCAGGAATGAGTTGAAACCCATTTCTGCGGCCACACTCAAAATTGTGACGGATGAAAGTGGTAGCCAGGAACCGGAACCAACAACACCGGTGGTCAGTAATGCTCCGAAAGGCTTGAAACCACCCCCTTTGGCTACGACACCGGCCACCCCAGCTGGAGTCATCGTAGATATGCAAGGTTCCATCTCGCAAACTCCAAAAAGCAGTCTGGAGCCAACACAGGAAACTATCCAGGAAGAAACGGATACTCAAGCGCAGCCGGAATCGCTTACTGAAACTGCTCAAAACGAATCCGAAGAGCTGCCCGCTGATTCGTTTGTCAATTCCGTGGGAATTCGGTTCACTCACCAGCAAGAAGAGGAAATTGCTGGTCCTACGCCTCATCTTCCCTACGGGTTGCCGTGCATTCGGGAGCTTTTCCGGTTCCTGATTTCCCTTTGCAACCCGATAGACAAACAGAACACCGACGTAATGATTCACATGGGCCTAACGCTCCTCACCGTGACATTCGAGGTCGGGGCGGACAGCATCGGGAAATACGATTCCCTTCTGGCCATTGTGAAGGACGATCTGTGCAAGAATCTGTTTTCCCTGCTAGCAACGGAACGTATTTCGATCTTCGCCGCTGACCTGCAGCTGTGTTTCCTGATGTTTGAATCGCTGCGATCCCAGCTGAAGTTCCAGTTGGAGTACTATCTGACCAAGCTGGCGGATCTGATCGTGAACGAAAACCCGCGCATCCTGTACGAAGCACGCGAACTTGCGCTGGACAACTTGCTTCAGCTGTTCCGAATTCCCGGTTTCGCAGCCGAACTCTACATCAACTACGATTGCGATCTGTACTGCACCAACCTGTTCGAGGACCTAACGAAGCTGATGTCCAAGAATACGCTCTCGGCGACGCATTCGATCTACAGCGTGCACACGCTGTCGATGGATGCTCTGCTGACGATTATCGGCTCGATCGAGCAGAACTGCATCCACGCGAAGAACGGCGAACAGACGACGTACATGCGGCACTCGCGGAACAATTCCAGCGTCGAGAGGATCGTGCTGGACGTGACGGAGTCGGCGCTGGATCAGAGCGGAACCAGCCAACAGCAAGGTGAGTGGGATTTTTTGTTTTGTTTAATCGATCAGGAAGGCGAGGGGAAGATCGGAAAGCTTATAGCGAATTCGAAGAGAAATTCGTGGGGTACGTATTTCACAATATTATTCCACGATTTCACACTATCGTGTTAACAGAATTCAGGGTTGAACTGCTAGTCTTTGACGATTTGTTGGGTTTATTTTTTAAATGCTCAGTGTACAATTTAATTTAATTTAATAATAATAATTCCAATCATCATTCACATTTTACAATTCATGCATCCTGTACTTTAGCCTTAAATTTACAATTGTTTATAACGAATTATTTGGCAGTAGATTCAATATAATATCATAATAGAGTACAGGATGCTCTTTATGATCACATATTTTTAAATTCAACAACCTGAACCCTTTGAACAAATAATAGACTTTTGTAAAATGTGAAGCTACACATATGTTTTCACAAACCATTTGCAAGATTGCAACATATTTGTGAAATAACTACTGACCTATCTAAAATTATACCGATACATTTCGAGCATTGTTTAATCTTTTCATGGCACTGCCCTACGACAATCCGGGCACGTCGAATTCCGCTGCAGCCACAGATCGATACACTCAGAGTGATAATTATGCTTGCAAGGCAGCTTCCGGCAGCTCCCTGCGGATACAAAATCCAAACAAATCGAACAAATGGGTTCAAGTGTTTCCCTGAAAACAAAAATTATAAACAACCTCATTTATTATTCCCATCCGATTTGAAAACTGCTCCACACTTACGATGGCACGTTAGCACTTGTCGTTATTGAGCTCCCTCCACCACTCGTTGGCATTTCTATGGTAGTAACTCCTCCATCGTAGTAGGTCGGTGGGAGGATGCATGCGTAAAATTTGAGCAAATTCTTGTTATCGTGGTAGGCGGTGTAAGCTAGTATTTGTTCCTCATATAGCTCCTTGGTAACGCTGTGCTCGTCGACGAGGTGCTTCGTCAGATGGATATCTTCGATCATCGGGTAGGTTTCACCGAAGCACACGCAAATCGGACAACGTACGTTGAATGGCACATCTAGATGTTCCAGCGTGAGGTGGTCGTACAGAGTCGATATGCTCAGCTGCTGACGATCGCAATATGGACAGCCGAATATCGTGATCTCCGAGCATTCGACAGAGCTGTATTTGCTCAAAAGAAGCTCATCCGAAACAAGCTGTTGCTTCGGGTGGCCCATGTGACAGTTTCCGAAGCAATCGCTGTGTACACCCGAATCCGAGCAAATTAGACATATGAACTGATGAGAACAACGGTAGTCTACGAAAACCAGCAAAATTAGGAAATTTATCAATGGATTAACTCGCTTTCGCAGCAAAATGGTACCTGGCCGAAATGCGAATAAGTTGGCACAATTGCACATGTTTAAAATTTATGTTATCACTTGGGATGTACGAGATGTTATAGCTTGCACGCTCTAATATGGACTGCACGATCTAATATGAAAATCTCATGTTGCAACGTCTTCTGGTGCATATAAGGAATTTCACAAAAAATGATCATTCATTTTCGCGAATTGCAACGCCTGATGAAATCGAAACTGGAACCACACCGGAACACTCCGTGTTCCTGACAATGGCTACTACTCGACTATTGCACTGAATTGCTCTGAATCGAGGCACGTCTTCTTTTTGGTCACTACGTATCAACTGGGGACTCATAGCCTAGTCAGTAAAGGCACGGTATTACCAAGCCGGAGGCGGCGGGTTCGATTCCCGGTCCGGTCGAGGGAATCTTTCGGGTTGGAAATTTTCTCGACTTCCCTTGGGCATAAAGTATCATTGTGCTTGCCAAACAATATACGAATTCATGCATTGGTATTGGAATCGAAAGCTCTCAATTAATAACTGTGGAGTGCATTTAGAACACTAAGTTGAGAGCACGCAATAAGCTAATATGCACTAAGCAATAAGCTTGAAATGCATATAAGAAGAAGAAGAAGAAGTATCAACTGGTGGAACCCTCAATTGTGTTGTTTTTAGCATCCTGTCGAACGAAGAGCTGTGTTTCCGTTGAGGAGTTTGCCTGTAAAGCGATCGTTGAGGAGACCACCACGCAATAGAGCATTTTATGAGACGTTTCTGGTTCAACTCATGAATGAACTTTGACAGGAGGCGGTTACCTAACACGCTCGTTCAAATTTACTCTAAAGTGAGTAAAATTCCACTCACTTTCGTTAAAAGTGGAACTACTCTAAAGTGAGTAACCCCATGTTTACTCACTTTTGAGTAATGTATGAATCTGTCAAAATCTGAGTAGCACTTACTCAGTTTCGGTTTTCGCAATATTAGCACAACTGAGGTTACTCAGTTTTGTAAATATTATATTTTGACAGGAAATTATTTGATCGAATTTTTTTTTGAAGCATAATAAAAACGATTTATTTTATCACAATAGAATTATAAACTCTAATTAACAAATTGATAATAATTCTGCTTATTAAGCGATTCCGAAGGCCACTGCAGCTATCATCTCCAGGTGCTATTTTCATTCCTAGAAGTAACCAGGGATGTAACATATTGAACATCTCGAAATGGACTGAGCGGCTTCCATGGCACAACTTACGGATCAGTTTCTCAGCATTTTTTTCTGAAAATTATTTTCTTTTTGAATATATTGCTATTTCCCGATTTTCTCATAAAGCTTACTTGTAATTCTCTCATAGTAAACTTTCCTTTGGATCGAGCTTGGGATTCTGAAGTTCACAACCAAAAGTTGTTGCAGAAGTTCACGTAACCTGTGTAAATTTGGGCTGAAATAAAGTTTATCTAAGGAAAAAACACCAACTGCACACTTAATCTAGCTCGGTAAAATCTCCAACAGCCGATTACTTCGGCATTCCGTTTGGCTGATATCTCTGCAAAATATCTGTTTGTTAGCTGATATCTCAGCAAAATGTTATTTGTTAGCTGAGTCTCGGCAATTTTTTGACTGAATCTCAGCAAAATAAATTGCAGAATTACTCAGCTGTTGGAATCTCGGCGAAAAAAATGCTACTCACGCTAGTTACTAGTCCAAACAAGTTTCACAGAACGCTGAAACTTTCACTCTTTGAACGCTTTGTGGGAATTTCTCGGGAAAATTGCTTTCAGCCCAGGACTTCAAAATTTTCGGACGTTTATTACATTTGATCTTACTCAAAACAGTAAAGATCCATATTTATTTAATTAGAGTAAATGTTACTCACTTTGTTTAATTAATGTTACTCAGTTTTTGACATTTTGCATACAAATACGAAATTGAGTCAAAGTTACTCACTTTAGAGTAAAATCAGACGAGCGTGAACGGCTGCGAGAAGCAATATCAATATCATCAAATTCTGGCAGGCAAACCAGCTCCTGTCATTTCATAAAATGAACTATAGATCCTGATGGGAAATTTCGAGTTACGGCGTCGAAGAAGATACACATTGACGAGTGCACGGATGGATTTGAGTTCACTCACTCGACAAAAAGTGACACAACAGCGGGGCCCTGTTTACTAAAAATGAACATATATGTGTTCATTTTTAGTAAACAGGGCCCCGCTGTTGTGTCACTTTTTGTCGAGTGAGTGAACTCAAATCCATCTGTGCACTCGTCAATTAGACCTGTTCATTTTAACAGAAATGTCCGGGATGCACCGGGTCAACCGTGATTACTGTTCGTGATGTTAATTTGAACTTCTGTGCAAATTCAAATTTGAATTGACTATTCAAAGTGATTTTATTGAAGTTTGACTTAGTTTCATGCTCGAAGATTTCTTAAAACGTGAAAAAGTTTGAAGTATTTGCTCTACGAACTTTCCACCCATATAATATAAAAATGTGTAGTCCATGGCATAATGTTTCTTATACTGTTCTAGAAATTTCGTTGAAACATAGTTTTCGAGTAGATTCCATAGATTGAGAGATATGTTGACGGTATCGAGAGGACTGTAAATGTTGGGGGTTCGGTTTCTACGAACAATCAACGAGAATTTCTTCCGTAGTCAATCAAGGGTGTGCCAAAGTCTTACGGTTGGGGCGCGCAGTAGGGATGCGCAAATCATCGAACAAGATAAAAATCAGAAAAGAGGCCGTTATAACTAAAATTCACAAGACAACAGAGCCAATAAAAGTTTCAATTAGATTGACAGAACATAGTTGCATTGCTTTTCAATGACGACCGATGACTGTTTCATTGATAGATGATTTTTTTTTAAATATGAATCCTCAGTAGACGTGTTTTTTTCAGGGCTTGAAGAGGGAACGCATTCTGCCTGTGACTGCATGAACTTGTACCTACATTTTCCGCATTCATTATTCGCAGTGATCGGCATTCACTGAACCTGATAAAAAAACAGTCGCACTGAACGGGATCTAAAAACAGTCAGATGTCCTTTCTACGCTGCGTTGTGCTTTATGCAGTTGCTTTGCAGATGCCGATTTTTAAATTCATTCCTTCTGTTCTGGTCAAGTTGATTGCCAACTGCGGGAGCTGTAAATTCAGACGGATTACCTATCGACTACCGCACGGAAGCATTTCGCACACACATTATTTTCCTTTCCAGTGTGAGATAGCAGCGCTTGGAATATATACTTTTGATACGATGCATCTCGATGATATCTTTTTTTATATATCGGCAGTCATACTAGCGCGGGTTAAGCGTTGGAAAACAGCGATCCGCGACGCGGATTTCGCGTAAATAAAGGACTCCCGCACGATTAGGCAAACAATTAAACTTGTCAAATACCACACAATATGAGTATTTTTGGAAACGGTGTGACATGTAGATGCAGAAAATGGATGTTTGACGCCATTTTGGAATCCAAGATGGCGACCTATGTTTGCTATAAAACTGTGAAAACTCGTCAAACATTATGCAATATGGGTATTTCCGGAACCGGTGCGGAATGTAGATGCCAGAAATGGATGTTCGACGCCATTTTGGAATCCAAGATGGCGACTTCAGGTATGCTAGAATACTATAAATATTCGTCAAAAACCTTTCAATATGGATATTTCCGGAACCGGTGTGGAATGTAGATGCCAGAAATGGATCATCGACGCCATTTTGAAATCCAAGATGGTGACCTCCGATATGCTAGAACACTATGAATACTCGTCAAAAACCTTACAATATGGATATTTTCGGAACCGGTGCAGAATGTAGATGCCAGAAATGGATCTTCGACGCCATTTTGGAATACAAGATAACGACTTCCGATGTACTAGAATCTGCAAATACCATACAATATGAAACAGCGTAACTTGTAGAAGTCGGAAATGGATGTTTGATACCATTTTAGAACTCAAGAAATCTATGAAAATATTAATATTTACGGAGCTAACGTGACTAAACTCGTCAAATGTCATACGATGATGATATCTAAGAACACGGCATGACATTAATAAGTCAAAAAATATACAAACATCTACTCTACTTAGGTTTTTATTTCTCTGCTTGTTAAAAAATGATTGCACGTTGCCTTGAAGTTCATTAAATCATCACCCTTCCATTACTTCTATTATTTGAGTTTAACAATATCTTGTCAAGAACTGGTTGGGTTAGTTTGATAGTGAGTAAATCTTCTAGGATGTTTTCACCCAAGGATGTGCGTTGGTCTAAAATCGTTAACGCCAGAGCACTGAAAGCACGTTCCACTGATACTTGCGTCGATGGAACGTCGTAAATTACAGCAGCTGCTTCAAAGAGATCCTTTTGCATGATTTTCTTCTGTACCCAGTACTCCCAAACGTTGACATGGTGTGGTTGTTGCAATCCAACATCCAACACACTTAACTGTTCTGGAAGCGTTTTGTTTGGGATACATTTAGGGTCTCCGCTTGAACCTGCTAGACAGCCTCCAAACATGTCCGCTAAAAATCTGTCCAGTTCATCCTGTTGAACAGCTGGCTCAGTAAACGTGGCATGCTGAGTGCAGGGTGTTTCCTCCTTCAATGCTGAAATCCGTGCAAATGTATTTATGATGAATTTCTGAAAGGTAGAAGTTAATAGGTTGGCAATTTAATAAAAAAATACATATTAAACAATCCTATATGAAAAGGCACTACAGATTCATTAAAATACTCTCATTGTGATAATCAAAAATCATACTGATTCTTGAATGTTGTTATTCAAAAACCAAACAGGTAAAAATGCTTTTTTCCCAAAATTCATTAAACCTTTTCTTCGAAACTTGCGTTTGCCTGGATTTTCCATTGTTCTTTCAAACCAACTTATTATTTTTTAGCATCAAACACACCAACCACTTTGCTCGATGAATGCCGTTCATTGACTGTTTTTTCGGACATTCCCAAACCCAAAACGAAAAAAGGAACCCGAATGAAATCAAAATGGGAATGAAACCAGAGCGAAAGGGAGCGACTACCCAAGTAACCAACAAGCCCGTTAATCGCCCTTTTTGGTATATAAGGCTGCTATACGACTGATATAAAGTTCGGAAACCCTATATTTACCTTATATCGCAAAAAGGGCGATTATCGGGTAGTTAGCGGGCTTGGTGGTTACTTGGGTATACAGGAGAGGATTTTGAAGAAGAGAAAGTGGGAATGCTTTTTGGTATCTATTCGCTTCACTGTGCATCGATATGTATGAATGCATAGCGTAGTGTGGGGGTATTGAATGGTATACAAAGTACCGCACATAAAAGAGTGATGAAATTGAATTCATACTGCTGCTGCCGTTCGCTAGAAAAAAGGAACGATCAGATG